TTTTTCGGGTCTTGCAGCTTACGCCATTTGTCAACAGCAAAACGACCTCTGAAACTCCTCTCCCTGACCTGTGAAGTTTGAAGAGAAAGGAAAAGTTGGTTTAGGAAGTCCAGAGGTATATATGTAGCAGTGGGAGTAGTAACGAAGTTCTTGACATTGCAGCGTTTTTTTTTTTTTTTTTTTTTTTTTTTTTTTTTTTTTTTTTTTTTTTTTTTTTTTTTTTTTTTTTCCCTAAAAAAATCCCTGCAATGTCAAAGAATAGTGGGATTAGAGAGTCGAGAGGTAAATATAGAAGAGGAAAAAAGGAAGGGAGAAACGGAAGGGGTGGTGGTTGGGTTCTTGAGTGAATTTTGAGAATTCTCAAAAGAAACGGAAGAGGTGGTGGTAGTTGGGTTCTTGGCCTGGAATTTTGGCCCTCACCAATGAGATGGGTTGAAGAATTAATGGAGGGCCTCAATAATCTTGGTTAAAATTCAGCCAAGATTTTTGGGGTTTCAATAATCTCCCACCTAACCTTCTAGGCTAGATAATATGGCCATGGTTCAGTTCCCAACCCCCAGCTTGGGTAAACCCTAGTTGTGCACCCAAATAAAGTATGGTGGCTATCTCTTCCCAAGCTAATTTAGGATACATGCAGCATACAAGAGGAGTAGTAACCTGATACGACCCACCCCCTCCCCACCAGGTTTTTCCGTGACTATTTATCACAGTGCTAGTGGTGTGGGTGGCAATGAACATGCTGGCAGACACCTTTGCAGCCATGGACATCTTTCCCAGCGAGGTGCAGCTGCTCCTTCTCTCAACTCCTCTCCCCTTCTGCCCTCTCATCCCCCTTGCACCCTCATCCCCCTTGCACCCTCATCCCCCTTTGCAGCCACGGACATCTCTCTCCTTGCACCAGCTGTTTCTCAACCCTCCCCCCCTTCTCCCTCTCCCTCTCAACCCCAGGTGTTCCCCCTACTGTTCATCATAATTCTCATCGTGTGGGAGGCAATGAACATGCAGGTAGACACCTTTGCAGCCATGGACATCTTTCCTACCGAGGTGCAGCTGCTCCTTCTCTCAACCCCTCTCCCCTTCTGCCCTCCCATTTCCCTCTCTCTCCCACCTCCCTCTCCCTCTTCCCCCACTCTCCTCTCCCTCTTCCCCCCCAGGTGTTCCCCCTTCTGTTCATCATAATTCTCATCGTGTGGGTGACGATGAACATGCTGGCAGACACCTTTGCAGCCATGGACATTTTCCTTATTGAGGTGCAGCTGCTCGCCATGGTCGCCAACTTCAACCTCAACTTCCCCGCCTCCTGGGTCAAGACCGTCGTGCTGCTATACAACATCGCTGCGTTTGATCCCGTGAGTTTTCCTGCCGTTGTCACTGTGAGTGGCTCTCAAAGATGGGTCAAGTCAAGACTGTCGTAAGAAGCGCTGACTTTTTTGGTGGACTTCAAAATCTTGAGTCAAGATTCGAGTCATGCTACTCTACAACTTTTGGCGTGCAGACTTTGATGAGGATTTTAAAAATTTCAGCATTTCGTGGACTCAACAGTCGGTCATGAATGATGGTTGACGACGCCGCGATGGTCGAGACTTTTGAGTCGACTCAAAAGTCAACTCGGTGATGATGGTTGACAGTCATGCTGCTTTACAAGCTCAACTCAAAGAGCGGGGCAAGACCGCCGTGCTACATGTCAGTGTCTCTGCTTTCATCACAATGAGCGACCCTTGTTGTAGTCTAGTCGCAATATGTTTGGATGTGCCTAATACGAAGGCTAGAGTGCACGTACAGATGCAGCAACAAATCGTGTGTTTTGAACCCGCAAGCCAAGAAGTTCAACAGTAGGAAGGTTGGTCGGGCGTGCATTACAATTGGTCAAGATTTTGGGTGCCAGGGTCACACTCAACCGAAGCTAGGAAGGTTGGACCAATTTGGGCTTTCTTGGCCTGCGGGTTTTAATTGCACACAGTGTTTCATTATGGCCTTCGATTGGCAAGTTGAATTTCAATTGGCCGCGCTGTTGGAATCAAGGGATGAAGGTATGGTACAGAGTTCTGAAATTAATTTGAAATTGAAATGTCTTCCCGCCTCTACAAACCCCCAAATACGAGGTTCAGGATTGTGAAAAGATTGCATGTTCTTTTCAACTACATATTATCTACCGTTTTCGCCATCTTGATGATTGCCGTCATGGTATGATCCAGGTATAGTTTATTCTTTCTTAGAATTCTAATTTAAGTCTCCATAACGAAGTTTAGGGCTTGCATTACTCCCCTCTTGCATGCTGAACGTTCGACAAACCAAAAAAGAAAGTGCACATAGCGCTCACACGGTGTGTCAACATGTGACTAGAAAAAGGGGTCTGGACACGCACATACAACACTATGGTTCGCCACACAATCTGCGTGAATTTCACGCAGATTGTGTGGCGAACCATAGTGTTGTATGTGCGTGTCCAGACCCCTTTTTCTAGTCACATGTTGACACACCGTGTGAGCGCTATGTGCACTTTCTTTTTTGGTTTGTCGAACGTTCAGCATGCAAGAGGGGAGTAATGCAAGCCCTAAACTTCGTTATGGAGACTTAAATTAGAATTCTAAGAAAGAATAAACTATACCTGGATCATACCATGACGGCAATCATCAGATGGCGAAAACGGTAGATAATATGTAGTTGAAAAGAACATGCAATCTTTTCACAATCCTGAACCTCGTATTTGGGGGTTTGTAGAGGCGGGAAGACATTTCAATTTCAAATTAATTTCAGAACTCTGTACCATACCTTCATCCCTTGATTCCAACAGCGCGGCCAATTGAAATTCAACTTGCCAATCGAAGGCCATAATGAACACTGTGTGCAATTAAAACCCGCAGGCCAAGAAAGCCCAAATTGGTCCAACCTTCCTAGCTTCGGTTGAGTGTGACCCTGGCACCCAAAATCTTGACCAATTGTAATGCACGCCCCGACCAACCTTCCTACTGTTGAACTTCTTGGCTTGCGGGTTCAAAACACACGATTTGTTGCTGCATCTGTACGTGCACTCTAGCCTTCGTATTAGGCACATCCAAACATATTGCGACTAGACTACAACAAGGGTCGCTCATTGTGATGAAAGCAGAGACACTGACATGTAGCACGGCGGTCTTGCCCCGCTCTTTGAGTTGAGCTTGTAAAGCAGCATGACTGTCAACCATCATCACCGAGTTGACTTTTGAGTCGACTCAAAAGTCTCGACCATCGCGGCGTCGTCAACCATCATTCATGACCGACTGTTGAGTCCACGAAATGCTGAAATTTTTAAAATCCTCATCAAAGTCTGCACGCCAAAAGTTGTAGAGTAGCATGACTCGAATCTTGACTCAAGATTTTGAAGTCCACCAAAAAGTCAGCGCTTCTTACGACAGTCTTGACTTGACCCATCTTTGAGAGCCACTCACAGTGACAACGGCAGGAAACTCACGGGATCAAACGCAGCGATGTTGTATAGCAGCACGACGGTCTTGACCCAGGAGGCGGGGAAGTTGAGGTTGAAGTTGGCGACCATGGCGAGCAGCTGCACCTCAATAAGGAAAATGTCCATGGCTGCAAAGGTGTCTGCCAGCATGTTCATCGTCACCCACACGATGAGAATTATGATGAACAGAAGGGGGAACACCTGGGGGGAAGAGGGAGAGGAGAGTGGGGAAGAGGGAGAGGGAGGTGGGAGAGAGAGGAAATGGGAGGGCAGAAGGGGAGAGGGGTTGAGAGAAGGAGCAGCTGCACCTCGGTAGGAAGATGTCCATGGCTGCAAAGGTGTCTACCTGCATGTTCATTGCCTCCCACACGATGAGAATTATGATGAACAGTAGGGGGAACACCTGGGGTTGAGAGGGAGAGGGAGAAGGGGGGAGGGTTGAGAAACAGCTGGTGCAAGGAGAGAGATGTCCGTGGCTGCAAAGGGGGATGAGGGTGCAAGGGGGATGAGGGTGCAAGGGGGATGAGAGGGCAGAAGGGGAGAGGAGTTGAGAGAAGGAGCAGCTGCACCTCGCTGGGAAAGATGTCCATGGCTGCAAAGGTGTCTGCCAGCATGTTCATTGCCACCCACACCACTAGCACTGTGATAAATAGTCACGGAAAAACCTGGTGGGGAGGGGTGGGTCGTATCAGGTTACTACTCCTCTTGTATGCTGCATGTATCCTAAATTAGCTTGGGAAGAGATAGCCACCCATACTTTATTTGGGTGCACAACTAGGGTTTACCCAAGCTGGGGGTTGGGAACTGAACCATGGCCATATTATCTAGCCTAGAAGGTTAGGTGGGAGATTATTGAAACCCCAAAAATCTTGGCTGAATTTTAACCAAGATTATTGAGGCCCTCCATTAATTCTTCAACCCATCTCATTGGTGAGGGCCAAAATTCCAGGCCAAGAACCCAACTACCACCACCTCTTCCGTTTCTTTTGAGAATTCTCAAAATTCACTCAAGAACCCAACCACCACCCCTTCCGTTTCTCCCTTCCTTTTTTCCTCTTCTATATTTACCTCTCGACTCTCTAATCCCACTATTCTTTGACATTGCAGGGATTTTTTTAGGGAAAAAAAAAAAAAAAAAAAAAAAAAAAAAAAAAAAAAAAAAAAAAAAAAAAAAAAACGCTGCAATGTCAAGAACTTCGTTACTACTCCCACTGCTACATATATACCTCTGGACTTCCTAAACCAACTTTTCCTTTCTCTTCAAACTTCACAGGTCAGGGAGAGGAGTTTCAGAGGTCGTTTTGCTGTTGACAATGGCGTAAGCTGC